TTTTTTTTTGCCTTTTGTTTCGCAAAGTACGCTCTTTTAGCTCTTTTCGCAAAGTCCTTTGGCCCACGTCGGTCCCGTGGGCCCCTGGGGCAGGTTGGTCTCTTGGCATGTATCCGTTGCAGTAGCTCAAGTCTTAGACTTGATGCAAGTGGATGCAGGGTAACTTAACAACAGGAAGAGGATTAGCGAGGGTGAGGAAGCTGATGACTTTGGGAGAATGTGTGTGTGTGTGTGTGTGTGTGTGTGTGTGTGTGTGTGTGTGTGTGTGTGTTGTTTTAAAAGAACTCAGATTCTCTCTCATTCCCTTCACAAATCATCACAAGCCATCCATAACGAAAAATTATAGATAGGCAATATAATAGAAAATGCAAGGTTGGCCACGTTTGTGTGGTTCAGCGCCAAGTGCCCACACATCCGTTGCAGCGAAAGCGATACGCTTGCACACATACATATGTATACATATATATTTCAAAGTCCATAAGGGGATGGAGGGCAGAAGGCAACTTACCTAAGACGGAAGACGACTACAGCAAGAAGGCACCGACCCGACCCCCTCAAAGGTCCGAAAAAACTTGGAGAGCCTTCCACATAATTTGACCCACAAAACCAAAAACTCATTTACCAAACAATCAAATATAACAGCATGGGCATTCGCGCTCGGAATGAGCGGGGGCGGCGCAGCGCTACCGGGAGCGCTGCGCCCGCCTAGGCTGGAACGACGGGTGTACCAAGGCGAGTTGAGACGCGAAGCTGCGATGGCGCTTTCACGAGGGCACGGCGGGTCAATATTCTGTGTGGCGATGGCGCTTCTTAGAGACTTCCGTGGATGTGGAGACAGGAGGGGTGTGTGGTTTGAGGGGCGTGTGGTTTGAGTCGCCACTCCTTCTGTCCTCTGTTATTAATCTCTGTCTCTCGCTTCTCTGGTTCTTTGCTGTCATGGGTCGTTGGATCTGGACTGAATTCTCTGTGAAGTTGTGTTGACAGGCTTGACATGAAATGCTTATCTGGCGCCCTCCTTCGAGGGTGAAGAGATACAAAATACTCCATGCACAATATAGGCCTGTACTACTGAACTCTTTACTGGCCTGCTCAGTCAATCCCCTTCTCTTTGGAGGGCAATCAATGCTGGCAGATCCCATCTTATATGCTTAGACTCCCTAGATCTCCTCAGACTTTCTCATACATTTCTCATACATTTTCAGACCTTGTTTGTTGTAATATGGGACGCTGGACCCGTTTTCCAGCAGGTGATGCTCCCCATCAATAGATGGAGCCTCTCCTTAGGTGTTAGTGGTGTCTGCTCTTATCAGCAGCACTAACACTGGCGGGGGCATTTTAAAAAAAAAGGACAGGCTTGACATGGTCATTCGGGGAGTAAGAGGGAGGCGAGAGCGTCCCAATTATCTCTTCTGGTTGGTGCGCTTTGCCGTAAGGCTATACTAGCACCGGTTGTGGGGAGGAGTGGCTCCTTCTATAGGAAGAGGCAGGGGCTGAGTTTGGTCTGGGCAGCGGTCGGGCAACTGGATAAGGGGACTGCAGGAGCGGAGCGGTGCGTGATGGTCTGCAGTGCTTGGTGATTTCAGGTAAAGTTCAAGGCAGCATCACGCAGCGACGGAAGCTCTGAGTGCAACATTTTTCAGAATTTATCCCTACTCCGTTAGATGATTTGATCGCTAGGGATGTTTCATTGCTGTTTTTACAACATCTCGTAAATTTTCTGACCTACTTTTTGTCTCAAATTCCCAAAGAACAACTCTAGTCGGATATTCTAATTCGTAAAATTTTTATTTGCTGCCAGGAATTCATAAGTATACTCTGATGTTGATTTTCAAACAACCTATCGAAAGTCCCATTTGGACATCCTATTCGTAAATGCTAAAAATAGTTCATATAGGTTTTCTAAATTTCGCCGTAGATCGATTTTCTAAATTGTCATGATTCTATTTTCTAATTTGTCAATGATTCGTGATGAATTCTGCTTGACGTGATTTTCCATGTCCCATTTGGTGTTTTCTGACAAGGCTTCTCTCATTGGAGACTGTTAGCAAATCTTCTTAGGTGTCATAATTGTGGATCTGCGGTTTTTCGATGCCAGAACGACGCTGGTCGGTGCTGGGGTGTTGCCCTGTAACCTGCGAAGCAGGAGCATGAGGCTTGGTAAAGAGATCTGGGGATGTTTAGGGGTGGGCATCTCACGGAATAATCAAGGGTTGCTGCTTGGAGGATGTCGGTCGGAGCTGGGGTGAGTTGTGTTGCCCTGTAACCTAGTGGTGGGGGTGTGAGGCTGGACAGACTCAGGCAGAGAGTATGATTGCGTTGGCGAGCCTGAGTAGGGTTGTTATAGTCTCCTTGATTTTTCTGCAAATTGTCAACTAGGTATTTTTTAGCCAAAAAACATACGATTTAGGGAAGCAGATTATTCACATGGACGGGTGGGAAGTTCGTAGGGGGGTGTAACAGGGGAAGGGCCTTAGTCTTCGTCAGTAGGTCAGAAGGACGTGGTTGGGACGACGCAGGCCTGTGCTGGAGCGTTGCTCTGTAACCTGGGGAGCGTGAGACTTGGGGAGTTCTGTCGAGGGAGGAAGGTAGAACCACCACGTTCGACGCAGCCATTGCTGGGGTTTTATCCCTATCACCTAGGGGCGTGTGGCTAATGGGAGTTGTCGAGGGAGGAAGGCACTCCTTGCCGTCTATACTAGGCTGGTCGGTAATGGGGCATGGTGGTGCCCTGTAACCCTAGCATAGGGGGTTATGAGACCAGCCGCATTTAGGTTCGAGGACTGGTCACGGGGACTTTGTTCTTTTTCCAATTGTTGAGTGGGAAGTTTGCTAGTTGGTGGTTTCGGTTCGGATTTTTTGCTTTCAATTTGTTGTATGTCACTCATGTCTTATCTCGTTAAAAAAAAACAAAAAAAACAACGGGCGATGTGTTCAGATATGGCTATCCTCTAGAGGTTGTGATTGCTCTCGGTGGT